AAATAAGACTGAAGCAGTAAAGGCAGTGTCTGAAAGGAAATAGTTAAAAATTAAGTAAGTCAAAAAGGAAGTACATATTTAGAATGTCCATTTAAAGATGAATTTATAAATCCAAATACGGTGGTAATCCTGGACAATGGGTCAAAAGTGATAGGTTTAAGTATTTAGGATCTGTACGGCAGAGCAACTGGGAGATAGATGGAGATGTCTGCAGTAAAGTAAGAGCTGCCTGGATGAAATGGAAGTAGACGAGCGTATTGTACGACAGAAAAATTCTTATGAAACTGAAAGATAAATTTTACAAGATGATAGTGAGACCAACTATGATCAATGGCACTGAATGCTGAGCAATCAAAAAGAAAGAAGAATTAGAGCACGAATCGCAAAAGCTAGATCCACCTTCAATAGGATGGGGGCCTTCTTCAAGAGTCACAACCTCGTTGTGACTCTTGAAGTGTTGAATCGTGGACCTTGAACGAAGATATGTGCAAAAAACTGGAAGCATTTGAGATGTGGCTGTATCGGAGAATACTTGATCCTTGTGGAAATACTTGAAGATCCCGTGGACTGACCGAGCCACAAATTAGGAGGTCCTCAGAAGAATGAATAATAACCGAGAAGTACTGACCACCATTAAATCAAGAAAGCTACAATTCTTCGTACATATTATGCGAATTACGTTTATATCTAAAAGAGTGAAAAAACTTCAATATATGACTAGATATGGTTGGCTTGTATATTGTGTAAATATCAATTAGAATGATGTTGAATTACTACTGAGCACAAAGCAACTCGAAGAAGTATCTGTTGTTACAATTTCAGACAAATTTGGATTTACTATTTTTGCCTGGGTTTTTCTTTGGACGTTTTATCTGTGGTTCAGAGGAATTTCATAATCAGAATCGTCAGAATTCCCAATCACTTGTATTCCATATGTACCTGCAATATCCGATTTTATTGATTATTCACAAATAATATATCATCAATGTCTTTTACATAAGAAACTTTCTAATCTAATCTCGGAGGCAAATAAACCACTTTAAGTGAGTTAGCATTTTCACAATCTGAGTCTTTATTTCATATTTTTAAAATTTACTGAAATAAACAAATGCACTACTATATACACGCATTCACATGATAATCAGCATCATCATCAATTAGCCTATATTTGCCCACTGCTGAACGTAGATCTTCCGTAAAATTTTCCACCTATTTCTATTTTCAGCTTTTTGCATCCAGTTGGTGGTGATGCGCTTGATATCATCCTTCCATTTAGTCGATGGTCGTCCTCTGCTTCGATATGCATCTTGCCTTGGTCGCCATTCCAGAATCTTTCTGGTCCATCTATCATCCGTTAATCTGGCAACATGTCCGGCACAAGCCCATTTAGCCATGGCTATTTTTTCAACTGCATCTGTGACTCCTGTGGGATATATATATATATATATATATATATATATATGGGCATCGAGTTAGAATCTATGGAGAGGACATCACGTGACTAAAAACGACCTCACTTCGGCCATATTGTTAATATTCTTTTGAAACTTTTGACAGATTTTATATGTTTGTTTAGATTTGTTGTTTTTCGAATATTTTCCGTTTTATAATACTTTTATAGAAACTGTAATATATTGTGATAGTGCATAATAATGGTTTCTTGTTCTCAACGTAGTTGCAGTAGCAGAAGCAATGTTAATAAAAACTCTTCAGGAATATCGTTCCACAGGTTAGTATACAAATATGTAAACAAAGTAATGGCCCGTACTTCAGAGAATAAATTAATAGTATTTGACTGTATTGATTTATCTTTATGTATAATATATCGTGTTTTTAGTGTTTACCGCGGGATAAATAAATCATAGTTTATTAAAAATATATTGCACTTTTTTAGATTATGATTAAATCTTTTGAATAACTAGTCATATTTGTATAGTAGTTTTAATTTTATTGAGTCTGGCCCTGATCCCACCGCCATATTGGTATTATCGTTAGCCACGCCTACCTACGCCGTTTTTAATACATAGGTTAATATGCTCATAGCTTCTCCATAGATTCTAACTCGATGTATGTGGGATATTACGTCATCAGTGTCGGCGTAATGACATAAATACAAACCGAGGTCACGCGACAGCTCATTTGAAAGGTCTTTTTATCGCCTTTGCAACAATATAATCATTTCAATATTTATTTCTACAGGGTTAACCAAACCTGTTGTTTTATTAATACAATTACCTTACAATAAATGTTTATTTAAATACAATTAAATTTCATTAAATGTTCAAATTGACGACCTTCAGCAATAACACAATGTGAAAGATGGGCAATACATTCTTTCCTAACCTTTTCGATGCCTTTGGGTATTATTTGTGCGATTTCCGTTATGATACGCTCCTTCAACTCTTCTACATTATTCGGTCGATTTTGATATACTCTATTCTTAAAATATCCCCACAAAAAAAGTCTAACGGAGTCAAATCTGGAGAACTTGGTGGCCACTCGATGGGCCTCCTTCTACCTATCCAGCTACCAGCGAAAACGTTATTAAGTTAATTTCGTACCTCAACGCCGTAGTGTGGGGGAGCCTCATCATGTTGGTACCACAAGCCATTTCTATTTGGAAATAGCTGATTCAGCTGTGGCAACAGATAATCCGAAGGAAATTCTAGATAACGAGAAGAAGTTAAGTTTTCCTCAAAAAATATGGCCCTACAATTTGATTGTTTATAATGCTGATATTCTATCCAATGTGGATTTTCACTTGCCCACTATGTCTGGCGATTTAAGTGACCGTTCAGCATAAAAGACGCTTAACCAGAAAGAAGTACCTTTTTTATGAAACCCTGATCTCTGTTATATTTTTCCATAACGGTTTCTCAGAATTCCATTCTTCTATGGGAATTTTGTTGAAACGCCAGTACAACGTCCAGTTTCTTGGCTTCGGATATTGATTTTCTACCACTTCTGGGAAGACCTTCAACATGACCCGTTTCTCTATTTTTTTTTCAATTTTACTTAGGTACTGTTGATTGAGTAATTGGTTTGCGCTTGTAGTATTTAGCATTATATAAATTACGAACTTCTGCTTGAGTCCTCACTCTATCTGCGTAACCAATCATGAACCAATTTAATTCCTTCTGTTTCTGTTAGTTTCATTTTTGTAAATGGTGTTATTAATGTCGGCAAAAAACTTAAAGAGTAAACATTTGACGTCTATTATTTGACAGGTTCACAGATCATTGAAAAATAAAGCCGAGTCAATGACAATATTGATTTAAATATTTTTGAAAATAACTTAAAATACTTACTACAATAATTAATTTCAGATTATAATATAGCATTGTTTGTTATCAATGTATTTTCTTTTTTTTTTCGGAACCAGCAAAAACACTATTTTGTTTTATTTCCAGTGGCGTTCCTTAGTGTATTTTAGTACAGTGAATGAATATTTATTGTAATTCCATGTTACTTAACAAAGTTCATATTTTGATTAACCCTGTAGAAATAAATATTATAGTGATTACATCTTTGCAAAGACGATAAGGAGACCTTTCAAATGAGCTGTCGCGTGATCTCGGTTTGTACTTAAAAACATCGTCGATTACGTCATTACGCTGACACTGATGACGTAATGTCCAACACATATCGCACGTTCCTAAGAAAAGAGTAAATAAATTATTATTTCATAATCTACCTAAATCTTTTTATGAAACAAAATGGTTTTTGAGATAATGAGTAATTTTTTTTTTAAATTGATATGTTACAGTTTTCTTCGAAAAATAGTTAAAATCTATATAAAAGAATTTAAAGATACAACATATTATTTTTTTGCAGCTGGAACATCGCTTGCATATCAAAACATGCGACTAAAAGGTTCTCGCTACACTTTTTTTTTTGTCGCTTTCCTTTTCAGCTCTAGACAACATTTTTTTACGTTCTTGATATTCACTCGAGATTCATTTTTTCAACTTTGCTGGCGTTATTAAATAAAACGCAAAGGTTGCATTGATCCTTTTTTGGGACAAAGAAGGACACATTAAATTCTGTGTTAAAAATGTCAGAATACATTATGGTAGTTTCCAAAAGGTTTATTGGCTTCCTTATATTGGTTAACATAATCTTTCATAATCATTTTTTATATTGGAATCTACTTTACGATGTTTACCATGCTTTCCTCTTCTGTTTTCACTTACTGATCCGGCTAAAGTGCGCTTTTTTATTACTGTATCAATTGTTGTATCATTTATATTTAAAGTTTTGGTTGTATAGTTTCCATATTACGACTTAGAAATTCCCTTTTTTTTTAATATCACTCAAACTTAAAACTCATTCAAAATATGCACTCTCTCATCTTGTTCGATTTTCTCGCTATATTTGAATCTGTATTTTTCAGTCCATGCAGCCTGTACGTTTCTCGATGGTATAACCTTTTTGGAGTTTGAACATAGCATTATACTCTTTACCCATATTCCGTAACACCTTAGTTTTTAATTTTATCTACTGTGTTTCTCTACGAATCCTTTTTCTTGCCTTTTTTTTTCGACGTCTATCGACTGTCCGATTTTAGATTCTGACTCAGTTACTAAAGGAGAAGATTCTTCTGCTAAGTTTAATCGATGTTTTAAAGTTGAATTAGTTACAGAGTGTGTACACCGTGGTGAACGTGCTGATCTAGTGAAAGATGATGAGCTCGATGAAGAACTATTTAATGAAGAGCTATTCGTTGAAGATGACGAACTGCTTGATGAAGATGAATTAGAATCATAATTTTGATCTTTATTACTATCATCACTATGACAATCTTCCAGGTCAAAACATCGTGAGTTTAAATCTTCGGTATGGCTAGTTATATTTTGTTGGGTAGGTACTTGTAGGGAACGATTCTATATTTTGTTCAACAACATCGGAATCGATGACGTTTTGAAGATTTTCAAATGCTAAATTCATTTTCTTTCACATGTTCGCTTTTCACTAAATGTTTTGTCTCGTCAGAATCAGTATTAGTACCATTTGACATAGAATCTATATCCTTTTTGCTTAAGTAATGAAATGATGATGATGACTCTATTTATTTCTCTTGAAACGGAATTTATTCCCTGGATATTTTCTATTGCGTTCATTCCATTATTTTGATCGCTGCATAGGGATTCACTTTCCACAAGATCTTTCGTCATATCTGAATCACTACTATTAAGATTTGCTACATTAGGACCTGTATTCTTTTTATAAGGAGACGATAATAAGTACTCTTCTGGTTTCTTCTTAAAATTAATTTTTTCTAAGCAACCATTTTCTACTTCTTTAATTTGCTTATTTCGATCGCTGCATAGGGCAGCCTGCATTATACGACTTGTTCTTGAACTTATTTAATCTGTAAAAACAAAATACACTGTTCACTAGAAAAAAAAAGTACATATCTGATGTATTATAGAAAAAAGCTGCTTGCTTGCATATTTATAAAATTCCAAAATTAACTGTAAGCATTCATCGAGCTGATCGGGATCTGTTTTTGCCCCAAATCAAAATTTTTGGCTGTTACTTTATAAATCTTAATTTTTAATCAGCATTCTTTTATCTATCTGTAGGTTATAATAGCTTATTCATAAAAAATTTTGCATACAAGAACCTTTAAGGATTAGATTAAATTATAACTTCAGTTTATAACCTGGGGTTTCCCCGGACAGCCTTTTATGCCAAATAAAATGCATTCTTATAAAGTTTCAGTACCGACTGTGAGTGTACAATCGTTTTACGTAAGGACTTTACATGTTTAAATGGGGAATTCCCCATTGATGTCGCAAGTATTAATTCCTATAAATTGTGCCAAAGTTAGATAAGTAATGTCATCATTATTTAACGTTTGAAGAAAAATAGATTTTTCAGAACTTATCGAAGAAAATAGTATTATCTAAAAATACCACACTTTTCGGCGGAAGTTAAGTGATAAAACTCAAAGATATTCCGATGATCAGAGTAACAACTCGAAATATTACGGTCTTCCTAGGAAAACGCAAATTAAAAGTGCAAACTCTTAAAAACTAAACAACAATAATTACAAATATTACACTTTTCGCCGAAAGTAAAGTGGAAATATTGGCAAATATTTCGATAATAAGAGTAGCAACACGAAATGTTACACTTTTACCGAAAGAACACGAAACTAAAGTATACAACAGTTCTAAAATAGACAGTAATAAGTACACTTATTACACTTTTAATCGGTAATACAGCGGAGTACCGCAATACACACCACGATAAGTGCGTTTTATTACTGTTTTCATCGGAATATGCCGATGAACCTGTTCCGAAGAATAGTGATTCTTTTGCCATTTATGAAATAACTATTGAACTTAAATTATTACGGGTTTCTTAGGAGATAGAGCATTGATGTACTATCCATTCCTGTATAAAAGTGAAGATAGAAAAAAATGTGATTTATTACACTTTTCTTTGGAACGTGCGATATATACCAGTTGATGGTCATTCAAAAATTAAAATTGACGTATTTTAATTTTTTTTTTAAAGTCGTCTGTTTCTGAAATAATGAATTTATTCCATACATTTGTATCATACTGTATACCGACAAATCAGAATTGTGATAACAAAATATCAAAATATCTTATCCTGTCGACATAATTTTATAAAAGTAAAGGCGATATCCTTTAGTGAAGGCGGAGATTAAAATTTTCTGTTCGGAAATATTGTGATTATAAGATACTATAGTAAATACGAGGAAAATAAATTTCATAACAGAAATAAACAAAAGGTAAATATTGTGTTGATTTTCTAATAATATATTAATTTTTCAAACCAGATTACTTTCAATAGTCTATTAATGTATATTCCATTTTCTTTTATTGTAATATATATAAATATTTCGAAATATTTGTATACCTAAACTATTGTGAAATTAACTAGGTGTAGTTAGGTGATTAGTTGGTTATTAAAAACAGCAGATTTCATTACTAGAGGGCCTGTTTCATGCAATTCAACACAGCAATTAAATCAAGTGTTTGTATTTTGAATTCAAACAATTTAGATACAATTAGCAACAACCTGATCATATATCACAAGTAGGTACTAACAAATGTGATGCTTCCAGATATAAAAGATGAACTTTAAGTTTACCATTCAAGATTTGGTTGCAAAAAACAGAACTTCTATACAAAATATTAATATTATTAAACAGTGGTTGCCCACAACTATTGAATCATATATTCCACCTTCAATTCACGATGAGCTGATTGCTCTCTTTTTAATGTCACGGAATAACGACATCGATCTAACTAAAGACTGTATAAGGTCACATTATGGCTTAAGATATGAGGCACCTGAAATGTTTGATGACAGAAATCTTGAAAGAATAGATGTTCAAATGGCGCTTAACACATTGTAAGTATCTCCATTATTATAAACATTTGTACGTTACAGTTTTCTGTTTTAGGAGACTTGTGAGCATTCCAAGAAGAACAGAAGATAACTATCTTGTTCTATACGCTAGTGTCAGGGACACTGATTTTTTTAGCTTTGAACTGCATCCTATCATGAAAGCATCATTGATGCTCTTTGATATCGAACATCACACCAACCCTCCCGATGGAGTTATTATACTAGCAGATTTAAAGGGGGTAAGAATATTATACTTGAATTAACCTACTTTTTTTTTAACATCCAATGTTTATTGCAATCTGTCTCATTACAAACAATAAGCAATATGTATAATTTATGTACAATATCATATAGTGGGACGCCGCCCAGTGGCAAGCACCCAGGTAAGACATAATATAAATATAATATATTATGATATAACAATTAATTTAAACTTCAACTTAACAAACAAAGTTTAATACAGATAAACATCACTGACACACATATAAGTATTACAAGACTAAAAAAATGGAAAAAAAGCAAAAAAAAAATTAAGAAAAGATTTAGAAAAACACCAGAATAAAAACTTGTTATTTCACCGCACTATGACACTATACTCTGTTTCTCCATGTTTACTAGAGGTCCAAAGGGTCTGGTCGTTTTAATCTTCTTTCGTGTGAAATGTTGAGTAAATCTGTGGCCAGCGGATTTGGATGGCAGGATAGTCTGGTCTTGTATACAGCGCAGCGTTTACGGCAGATATTGCTTCGCTAACTGTTGGTAACTGTAAATCGTGGTGTAATCTGTAGTTCATAATGTACCAAGGGGCATTGCAGATCTGGCGCAGTACTTTCGATTGGAATCGTTGAAGTTTTTGTATGTTGGTATTACTTGCTGTACCCCAGATTTGTGCTGCATATTGCCATGCCGGTTTTAAAATACATTTATATATTAGAAGTTTGTTCTCCAGGCTTAGATTAGATTTTCGACTCATGTACCAATACATTTTCCTGTAGATTAAGCTGAGTTGAATTCTTGATGATTCCAGATGTGAATACCCCAATTAAGTTTGCTATCCAAATGAACTCCTAAGTATTTAACGACGGTATTAACTGGTAGTGGAGTGTTGTTTATAGAAACTGGTGGCGCGACATCTTCTTTTAAAGTAAACGTTATTTGTGTTGATTTTAAACTGTTAACTTGGACTCGCCACAGTTTAAGCCAGCTCTCTAGTTTAAGTAGGTAGTTTTGTAATACCTGGGATGCTTCAGTTGCTGTAGAATTTGAAGCCATGATAACTGTGTCATCAGCATATGTAGCGATTGTTGTATTGGTCGTCGTTGGGAGATCTTATGTGTATATTAAGTAGAGGGTGGGTCCTAGTATGCTTCCTTGTGGAACTCCGGAACAAATTGGAAACAGGTTAGTGATTTCCCCACCTCTTTTGACTTGAAAGAATCGATCTGTCAGGTAGGATCTTACAAGTGAGCTTATAGGATGAGGAAATATAGATTTAATTTTAGAGATAAGACCTACATGCCAAACTTTGTCGAATGCTTGAGAGACATCTAGAAATGCAGCAGTACAATAATTTTTTTGTTCGAGCGAATTTCTGATAGTCTTTACCACCCTATGAATTTGCTCGATAGTACCATGTTGTTTCCTAAACCTAAATTGATAATTCGGTAAAACATTACTGTCATATAAAATAATCTCCAGTCTTCTCAGAAAAATCCTTTCAAATACTTTGGATATAATAGGCAACAAGCTAATTGGGCGATATGAAGATACTTCCGTGTGATCTTTATTAGGTTTTGGAATAAGAATAATTTGAGCAACTTTCCATTGGAGTGGAAAATAACCTGTTTTTAATATTGAGTTAAATATGTAAGTAATTAAACTTACGCCTTCGTTGGGTAGATTTTTTAGTACTAAACTAGATATTAAGTCATATCCAGGTGACTTTTTATTTTCCAGATTATTAATTATTTCTTTGATCTCTGATTTCCTAATAGATTTAATAGGTGGAGCCATTTGATATGGTGCATTTACGGCTTCATGAATACCCTGCTCTTCTTCAACTGAGACTTCCCTCTGATGCGGTTGAAATACCTCGCATAGATGATTTGCAAAAGTATATGCTTTATCTATGTCAGTTTTAGCCCAAGTGTCATTTTCTTTCCTGATTGGCATATTCATTTGATCGTTGTGTTTAAGTTTTTTTGTTAGTTTCCACAGCGAATAGTTTGGATCATCTGCAGGTGAAAGGTTCTTTAAATATCTGTTGATTCCATGGTCTTTATGTTGGATCAGTTTTCTTTTGAGTAGTCTGCAAGCTCTATTAAGATTTGCTTTATCTTCTAGATGTCTAGTGAGCTGCCACTTCTTTCGCAGTTTTCTTTTTTCCAATATGAGTGAATTTATGTGAGCAGGATAGGACTCAGAGTTGTGTTTGTAAATTCTGGGGTAGACGTCCAAGCAGCTTGCTGAATAACTGTAGTTAGGTGAGCAACTGCATTTTCTATGTCGCTATCACTTTTAAGAGGCAAGTTTAGGTTAATGGTTGTTTTTATTTCTTCTCTATATCTGTTCCAGTTTGTTCTTTTATTAGAGAGTGTTAGGTATTTAGGACAGTTATGAATTTGGCTATGTAGATCTATGAAGAAAGGGGAATGATCTGATGAGAGGTCAAATGAAGGAGAAATTTGGAGATAGGTATGTGATATTCCTTTTACTATAGCGAAATCAATAAGATCAGGAATTTTTTGTCTATCGGTGGGCCAATACGTAGGCTCTCCAGTAGAGAAAGGAATTAAATGATTCTCATTAATACTTTTTAATAATTCTCGTCCACGTGAGGTTATGATTCTGGAACTCCATTTATGATGTTTGGCATTAAAATCTCCAGCAGTAATGAAACGGTGTCCGAGCATCTTAAAGTATTCAGTAAAATGATCAGCTTTAATTATTTTATTCGGTGGACAGTAAACAGCAGATAGAATAATCGGGCCTTGTGAATCTTCGACCAACACTGATGTGGCTTGGATGTTAACTTTACTAATTTTATTTATTTCATGATGCTTAATGTTGTTTCTTATAATAATTGCCGTACCTCCGTGGGCTTTACCTAATGGATGATGAGTTACATAGGTTAAATATTTGGGAATATTGAAATGGCTCTTATTAGTCATGTGTGCTTCGGAAATAAACATTACATCTAGATTATGGGAGTAAATAAATGGTGTCCCCGAAAGTAGTGCGTTCCTTTAAGTTATAGATATAATACACAATTTGAAATAAAAAAGTGATTTAACGTTTTTTTCTGAACTTCCCCGTTTCCAAAAAAAGAATTACAATGCTGTCCATATACGTAAATTTGTATTTTCAAAAAATAAATATTCTGACAACGTCTTAGCAGTGAATGCGCTTCTGAATAAAAACTCGTTTGTGACTTAGCTTATTTAACATAATACAACCCTTGTTTATTTATTATTCAAAGTTGTTGACATCTGAGAAAATGTAGGTCGGGGAGCATGTTGAACCTAGGGATAATTTTTACAAATTGATTTTTATAAATTAGACAAATAAAGATATTAAAAAAATAATAAAATCTGGACAATTCATCAAACCTTTGTAAAGCTAATTCGAAAATGCTAATTTTCCAACCTATATATTTCTACCCATTTTATTACTTTTTTTGTATGTATATACGTGTCCCTAGGAACAACGGGTCTGTGGTACCTACGGATACGAAAAGTTGTACCTAGGGACACGAATTGAAGTACCTGTACAACCAGAATTTAATGTGTAAAACAAAAATACTTCCTAATATTTGTGAAAATTTTATTGAAAATATAAACTGCTAATAATACACAGACTACCCTAAATTAATTTTATCAAAAGATATTGGAAAGATAAATGTGTTTGATTGTCGAGAGGATGAACCTGATGTACGTGGTTGAGGAAGTTTTTGTATAATATCGCTGTTAGTTGTATATTTCATCTTCAACCGTAAATGTATGATTCATTGGCAAAGGAATGAGCTTTCTTTAAATATTTTATTTGGAACTATGTTTCGTTCACCTTTCCTGATATTGCGGCTACAAAATATCCTGAATGCTTTTACCCTTTTAAGTGCACCAAAATAAATCACCTTTCTGAAGATCACCTGTACTAAATTGAATGGAATCAATTTCTAAATCTGACAAAGAATTATCATTACAATTACTGCTGTCACTTCTAATCTCAAAATCAAATTGATCTTCTACTGACGACGTTTCTTCAATATTTAACTTACGTTTTACTTTTTTGTTTTTTACAGTTCCTTTTTGAGCTTCTTTTCCATACTGTCTTATATATATAATCTGGGTCTACCTTGCTTTCTTCTTCCATGCGGTGTCCAGTTCAATACTTTCTTTGGTATTCTGTGTTCATTCATTCTTTGGACGTGTCCATACCATCTTAGTTGATTTACTCTGATGTCCTCTGTTAAATTGTGTTTAACACCCATAATTTCTTGTATTCTTTCGTTTCTAACTCTGTCTGATCTTGATTTTCCAGCCGCTCTTCTCCAGAAGTCCATTTCTGTTGCTTCTAATGCTTTTAAGTTTTTTCCTTTCAGTGGCCATACCTCACTTTCATATGTAATGATGCTTTTTATAATGCTGTTATAGATTTTGTGTTTGTTTTCTTTGGAGATTGTTTTATCCCATAGTACACTGTTTAATTGTCTAATGACTTGTCTTCCTTGGTTATTTCTAGGTTTAATTTCTTCGTCTAATTTGCCATCGTTGGTTATTTGCATGCCTAAATATTTGTATTTTTTACAGTGATTTATTTCTCGCTGTATTTCTTCCAAGATTAGATTTTGTTCAATTCCCCCAATGCACATGAATTCAGTTTTCTTGATATTCACTTCTAGCCCCGATAGTTCGAATTCTTCGATAAGTTTACGGGTCATATATTTGAGGTCTTCATAATCTTGGGCCATCACTATCTGGTCATCTGCAAAACTCAGTGTGTACAATATTGCGTCGTTTAGAGGGATTCCCATGTTTCTGCATTTTCTTTTCCACGTCTTCAGAGTTTGCTCTGAGTATTTTTTTTTTTTTTTTTTAATGGCCTTGGCATAGCCAATTGACCAGACTGTTTTGTAATTTGTATTCACAGAACAACAATCAGAGTTCGAGTTAGTACTAAATGTAAGTTAAAAATAAATTAAATAATTGAGTTG